ATATAAAATTAGCTCATAATAAGCCGCAACGCTATTGTTTTCCGAACGGCATAAAGATGAAAACTTTTGGAATAATAACAAATTATCCGATAATGATTTTTCAATTATTCAATGTCAAAAAGGATTTTTTTATCACTTTTACAAATGTGGTCATTCCTACATTTTGGGCAAAAGTATATAAATGCGTCATTTTGTAAAAAAAAAACTGAAATTTTTTTATTTAAAAAAAATATTTTTTGAGAAAAAAAAATTTTTCTTCAACAATTTTTCGAAACGTGAAAAATAGTTGCTAATGAGCTGTAAATTATCCGATGTCGAAAACCAAATTTTGTTAATTTTTAACCATTTTTTCTGCTAACTTGCGGTAAGGTAGCATCAACGCCGTTTTTCCAAAAACTGGGTTAGCTGAAAATTTGTTTGGAAGCGTAGAAAATTAGCTCTTAATTAACTTTAAATTATCCGATATCGGAAATTCAATTCTATTGATTTTTTAAATGATTATTCTGCTAACTTACAAAAAAACTAGCATACGCATCATGCTAGCATGAATACGCTTTTTTAAAAATGGCATTAGCAGAAAAAATTTTTAATGCATATAAAATTAGCTCATAATAAGCCGCAACGCTATTGTTTTCCGAACGGCATAAAGATGAAAACTTTTGGAATTATAACAAATTATCTGCTAATGATTTTTCAATTATCCAATGTCAAAACTGATTTTTTGCCACTTTTATGAATGAGATTTAGTTCATTTCTACATTTTAGTCAAAAGTATGTAAATGCGTCGTTTTGGGAAGAAAAAAAAAATTCAGAAATTTTTTTGTTTTTTTTTCAAATTTTTTGAAACGTAAAAAAATAGCTTCTAATGAACTCTAAATTATCCCGTATTGAAAACGAAAGTTTTTTCATTTTTTAACCATTTTTCCTGCTAACTTGCGGTAAGCTAGCATTGACGCCGTTTTTCCAAAAACTGGATTAGCTGAAAATTTTTTGAACACGTAGAAAATTACCTCTTAATTAGCTTTAAATTATCCGATATCGAAAATCAAATTCTATTGATTTTTTAAATAATTTTTCTGCTAACTTACAAAAAAGCTAGTAGAGACACGTTTTTTTCAAAAACGGTATTAGCAAAAAATTTTTTGAAGGCATATAAAATTAGCTCATAATAAGCTGCAAATTATCCAATATTGAAAATTCGATTCTGCTACTTTTGACTGCTAGGTTAACATACGTCCATACAAAACAATAACCTTCAGTATCGTAAGAGCTATAACCATACAAATTTCAACTTGCTATCTGCATTTTTTCTCAAGTTATCTGGTCTTCAAGACTAAAACAAGAAGGAATGGGTATAATTAATACAAATTATCGTGAGTACAATCAGTTAAAATGAAAAAAGAAAAATTAGGAATATGTCGAAAATTAATTAAATAATTTTACACACAAAGTTGAGTATCTCAGGAACTACCGGACCGATATCGCCCAGGAATAATACGAACCTTTGATATTATAAGAGCTGCAATACCAAATTTCAACCTCCCATCTCAATTTTTTCTCGAGTTATCGTGCGAACAAACAATTTGAGGAAAAGATAAAAAATGGAGAATATCTCGAAAACTTTGTATGAACGGGTATACATATTTCGATTGATCTAAATAGAAGATATGGAGACGGACATTTTGAAAAAAAAAATCAAATCGGCCCAATAGTTTTGGAGATATTGACCAAAATAGTTTTATAGAAAAAGTGGAATATCTCAGGAACTACTGGACCGATCGTGCTGAAATTGTAGGTCAATGTTGAGCAAAATAATACCTACTATTGGACAAAATTTCAAATTTATATCAATAAGTTTCACCGTATTAATGTTATATTTTCTAAAAAGTGACCACCCAAAAACCGAATCCTCGGACACGGACATACAGACATTTTCTAAAAACATCATTTCTTTACGTTTCATACCATTCTACATCATTTCCAGGCAAAATTAGAGAATGTCAAAATCCGACAAATACAATGCTTCCATTCGGAAGCAAAAGGGCTAAAGTAATTGCAAAAAATCTGAAATTTTGTCAGATTATGGGTATTAATAAGGACTAACTCTATGTTCAAGTTCAGCTCAATCGACCCAGCCGTTTTGGAGAAATGGACATTTGTTTCTGAATGGTTGTTCACAGATATCTCGAAAACTGTCCAACCGATTACCATTTTTTTTTTTTAAATATTCGACTCGATGTCGTCTTGACCAATCAAAAAATATATATCCCGCCATACAAAGTTTTCGAAATATTTCAATTTTTTGGTTTTTCGCTAAGAAACCTTGTACGCACTCTCAGTTTAAAAAAAATCAACGTGTCAACCTGAAATTTGGCATAAGGTTTCCTCTTATTACAACAATGTTTCGTGTTGAAGATGAGCTGAATCAGATGATTAGTTTAAGAGATATTCAACTTTGTATCAAAAACGATTTTCCAGAATATATAAAAAACTGCTCAACCGATTTCAATTGTTTTTTCAAAATATTCGTCTCGATGTCTCCTATCTCAATTCTCAATATATATATATATACCCCGACACACGAATTTTTTGAAATATTTTAATTTTTCAGGACTTCGCTGAAAATCCTTCTACGCGCTCAATTTTAGCAAAATCAAATTTTATTGCGCTAAAAACCATTTGGAAGCCCACCATCCATTTATTGATGGCGAAGAAAGTATCAAAAAATTAATGAGTGAGATATTCACTGCCACATGCTCGCTGCCCCCTACTTGTTCTTTCAATCTTCATGATTCCTGTGAAAACGTATAACAGAGAAATTGATATTATTTAATTTTCTAGGAGCAGAAGAGGAATAATCGGGATAAGAATTGAGATTAAATGTATACATTTTCTCTACAACCTGAAGAGAATTTGTATTTAAAATTATAAGATTCTTCAGCCCATATTTCTAGGGCTTGAGGTAATTATGTAAATTCTTCCTAACGGAGAAAAAACATAAATCAGCTCGGTTCTGGGAACATTTTGAACAATAAGAAAGTACCCCTAGAAAGGATCCATCTTGCTGCTTCTAGTTTCCTAAAGATCCTTACATTTTTTTCTATTTTCACTCATTCAAAGCAATGTTAATTTCTGGTTATCTGGAGATGGGTTTGATAACTTTTTATATGGATCAACATGAACAACTGGAAATTCTTTTTAAGCTCACATTTTCAACTACACAGATTGAAAAGTGGTTCTTGTTGTTGTTCAAAATAGATTGGTCGGGTCTGTTGTTAATAAAATCTGGAAATCATTATTTTGGATTATGGAGCAATACGATAGATGTGGAAATGTTGAAAAGAAGGTGGTACTCAGTAATTGACATTTCACTTAGCTGAGCAGTATTGTGATCAATCAATTGAATGGGCAGGGTTCTCACGCTAACTCTTATTATGCAATGTATTTATAGTGTGCATCAAAATTGATACTAGCAGACGTTTCAATCAGTTTAGTAAAAGCTAAATTTCTCTCTCAAATTTCCTATTAGCGATCGGAGGTTTGCGTGCAAACTTTGAAATGTTTATTCCTTCATTGTTAATACCATCTCATTGAATTATAATCAAATCAAAAATTTTAACGTATGTATACTCAAAACAGGAACCCCATTTACATGTGATTATTAACATCTAGTTATTATTTCATATGGTTTTATCTGCAAAATTCCTTTTTTTCTTTTGTTTTATTCAAGCACAACCTATTGCGTACATATCCGTAAAAACCTTTTTTTTTTATTTTTACGACACGAACGAGGCTGAAAAATCAATAGTTGTAAATATGAACTATTCAATTATTATGAGACGTTTCAATGCATTCAAATGCAAGTAATCAATAAAATATCAAATTGACGCGGGAGACTGGGGGAAGATGGACCTCTCCAAGGTGCAATTAATCAATTTCTAGTAGGAAAGAAATTATTGATGAGAAAATAATCCAGGCAAAATAACGTGGCAAAACATGACCGGCAACAAATTGTTTTTTTTAATGTGTTGCATATGATACAATTCGTATGATGAGTAGTTATAGGAGACAATCATCAGAGATATTTTTAACTCAGGATTTTTTCAATTATGACAAAAGCTTACAAGATTAATAAATTCAAATTTTCTGCAGAACTCGCTCATCATCGAAATGCTTCCATAGTAACAATGAAAGATGTTATTTCGACTGTTATATTTACATTCTGTATTATCACAGGACCCTTAAAAACGTCTAAGGTTTGATCGAGTAGCCCGGGAAAAATACAGAATACAGAAGAATGTTTGCACAGTTATTAATGAAAAATCATAGATCGACGCATTATGTTCCACGACTTCATCAGAAGAATTGATTTTTCAGTTTTCATTCTGCCTCATTCCCACCTATAAAAATAATTTAATATCATAATTATTTTTTTTACCGAGTTCTTTATTAGCTGGAGACTCGGGCAACTCAAGATGTAAATTCACTTTGTACGGTTGACCAATCATCAGTAGTTGTTGTTTCTTGGTCAATTGTACTTTTGCTGATGGATAACTACAGATTCCTTTGCCTCCCTCACAAGATCTAAGCATTGCGATAAATGAAATATGCTTTGATTTTCAATTGAAAAAAAAATCAATCAAAATTCGTAGTATAAAAATAACATGATTTTTATCAATTTAGAATATCATATAAATTGCTTACTCGAATTCCAAATGTACTGGTCGTATATGCAACATACTCGGCATATATGCATAGTAAAATGCTGTATACAGAAATATTGATATCCAGACTACGACAACCGAAGTAATGAAAATAATACCACCACGGAAAAGTGCAATTTGGGCGAGTTGTACATTGTCTGATGTTTGTTTCTGGATGTTAAACCATTTTTCGCTGAAATGTTGTATTAGTCGCGAAAATACCATGTTTACTAACGTAGAAGTAGCACTAATCCTCTAACAGGGATTCACTTTGCTCACGTGATCAACTCTTTAATCTTGAAATTTCAGTTACATTTATGTGGAGGTATATATTTGATAACACTTCAAATGGCTGTTGGCTTTTTATCTTTGTCACGAATGATTAGTCTTCCCATCAAAATAAGTCCAATAAGAAATATAACCTTTGAACGTGTTTTACTTCAGTATTCAGTTGTAAGAGGCAGCACTTTCCAGTCACCTATGTTCAACTTTCAGTAGAGGGACAATATGAAATCAATAATTCTTATTTGCCCTTACGGTGCTCGAGTCGGGGTCGTCCTTTCTTGGCTGCTGGTTTATCCTTTCCTTTGTTCAATAGAGGATGAGTTTCTATTGATGAGAAAAGTATGTTATTAATTATTTCATAAGTGAATAGGTAAAAGAAGCCGAATTTTGAACGGATTGAGAAAGTACTCTGCATATATAGGATGACCCATAATCCAATTACTGATAGCTGATAGTACATACCGTGAGGGTACTTAAGGGTGTTCTAGGGAGGAAGAAACCCCGAATGAAATTCTTGTTTCTGTCACTTTGTTATTGAGTTAATAATCAAAACACGTCAAGAATAAGCCCCCAGAGGCGAAAATAATCTATAACATGACGGTGTGTGACTTTATAAAAACAAAGATTTTTGTATGGATTGCACTATATAACGATGTATTGAATCGATCGACACAAAATTTTGTAAACCAGTGCGACTCAATAATACTAATTAGTAGCCAAAATCTCAGATATTTATTCCAAGTTTTATGTGTATTATGGAACGCCACATTAACTCTCATTTGGAAAAAATAGGAAAATGCAAATATCTCGAAAACTTTATATGAACAGATATTAATACTTTAATTGATTTTGATAGGGGGCGACAAGACAAGTATTTTGAAAAAAAAAATTAATCGGACCAGTAATTTGGAAGAAATTGTACAAAACAGTTTTTCATAAAAAGTTAAATATCTTCTAAAAACAACTTGTCCCATTTTGCCTACCCACAATTTAATCCTGTAATATCATAAGAACCACAATTTCAGCAATTCAATATCCTATTAAAAAATTTTCGGGCGTTATCGCGGACCAACTCCTGAAAAAAATCGAACGATTTTTTCATAAAACGAAAAATGTTGATTATTACCAAACAGTCCCTAATTATATAGCAATATTATGAGTTAATTTGATCGATATTATCACAGGAAATGTTCTGACGTCAAGAAAAATCAATTCAGTCACGTAGTTGTAAAGATGCTAAGAAAAAAGATTTTTGAAAAATCGGTGTACCTCGGAAACTATTTGAGAGATTGAGCTGAAATTGTACCCAGAAGTGGTCCAAAGTAATACCAATTATGTGGCGAAATTTTAGATTTTTAGCTTCAGCTTTCATCCTTTTTGCTTCCGAATGGAAGCTTTGTATTTGACCGATTTTTCGATTTTCTAATATTGATTGGAAATGTTACAAAATGCGAAGAAATGATGCTGTTAGCCATGTCTGTATGTATGTCTGTGACAACTTGGATGTTTGGTGATTAATTTTTAGAAAATTAACCATAAACAAGTAGGTGTTAGAGCCTATCCGACAGAAGGAATGTGACCGTTACTTGCGTTATTAGTTTTTTTCTCTCTTATATTTCTACCAATTCTATTGGTAGTAAGCTTCCGAATAGATCCGTAGCAATTCCCTATCCTTCACGTATAACAAAATTCAGTAGAAAAACGTATGAAATTCGCTAGAAAATTCTATTGGAATTCTCTAGAAATTCTATTAGGATTCTATTAAAATTCTACAAAATTCTCGTTAAAATTCTATTTGTTTTTTGTGCCGATTCTATGAGATATTTGATAGGAAAAAGTCAATAGATTTCGATTTTTCGATATGAATATCCTCTTGGAAGTTTTTTGTAAGAATGTTTGAGCATGAATTTTTTAAGTTTTTTTCACTCGGATCCTGCAATGCAAAACAAAACGAAATATAGCTGAAAAAACTGGGAAAATCCGTGCTCAATAGTTTTAAAAGAAAAAATCTCAACCGAAAAATTGAAACAAAAAAATTGAAATCTATTGACTTTTTCCTATCAAATATTTAATAGAATCTGCATAAAAAACAAATACAATTTTAACGAGAATTCTCTAGCTTTACTAGAATTGCCATAGAATTTCTAAAGAATTCCAATAGAATTTTCTAGTGAATACGCTAAGATTTTCTATTGAATTTTTTTATACGTTGTGACAGGCATACAATCGTACCCACATGCTACCGCGTGTCTACAGGAAAATATTCACCTTTTAATGAAAACGATTTATACAAAAGGTTGAATATCTCCGATACTGTTCGGCCGGTTGTGTCTATCTAAAATACCAACCTTCAGTATTTTAAGATCTATAATTATATCAAGTTGCAACTTGCTATCCCCATTTGTTCTCAAGTTATCGGGCGTACAAGAATGAAAAAAAAATTAAAAACGAAAAAACGCGGAAATCTCGGAAACTTTGCATGAACGAATATATATATTTTGATTGATCCAGATAGTAGCTACCGAGACGAGTATTTTGAAAAAAAAAATTGAAATGCGGCAAGTAGTTTATGAGGGTGACCGGATTGTTTTCCCCCGGAAAAAATTTCCCGGAAATTATTTCCCCGGATTTTTTTCCCCTGATAATTTCCCCTCAATTTTGTTTTTCTGGATATGAAAAATGAATGAATGAATTTATTTCATTGTTGGAAATTAATGGAATACTAGATGTAGAAGCAATTGTCATTTTAGAGCAATTAGGTTGTTGTCTTCTTGAATATACGAACACACATACCCACTCCGTTCATTTTAAAACAAAAATATACACATACAAGTAAATCTTGCTATAATACAAGTGAAATTATTGGGGGAAGGGTCGATCGAATGCCGTGAGTTTGATGTATTTACGTGAGTGAGAGTATTCAGTGTGCCTTGAGGTTTTGTGATGGCAACAAGTGAGTTAATTGTTTCTTCTGAAGACAATGCCGTTGACGTTACATCGAAGTAATAAGAATGGACTGATTTTGGAGGAGTAATACGTGTATGTGTAACCTTCATGTTCAGTGGTAAGGGGAAATCATTGCGGGGGAAATGATTCCAGGGAAATTTTTTCCGGGCGAAAACAATCCGGGAACCGTTCATGAGATATTTGAAAACATATATTTACCCAAAAGATTGCATATCTCAGGATGCGCTGTGGCAATTGCACCTCTTGCAACCTCTTTTAATAATAATAATAACAAAAAAAACAACAAAACAAATGAAAACCACCGTATTTGCGCTAAATTTCGGGAAAAGCTCCAATATAGAAAATTTGCGAAAGTTCGCCGATTCTCTAATCAAAAATCCGATTTTCAAAAACAAAAAAATGTAACTCTCAATTCGCAAAAAAAGTTGAGAGTTGAATTTTTGATTCTCAATTATCTCTCAATGTATTCTCAACTTCTTTTTAGAGTTGAAAATTGGATTATTGATTCTGAAAAATCTCGCAATCTAATCTCAAGTTTTTCTGAGAGTTGAGAACTGGATTTTTTTTTTTTGACAATGGGATTTTTGATTCTCAATTATCTGAATTATCTCAATTATCCCGCTCCGCGTGCCTAAAAGTCCAATTTCCGCCACATTGTGATGAAAAATATTGTTCGTAACTCGTGAAAAAATGTTTTTTAGCTCGAGGGATTATATCACTCGCCTTCGGCTCGTGATATAAACCTCCCACTCGCCAAAAAACACTTTTTTGCACTCGTTACGAAATATACTATTTTGATTTTCAATTGCCTTTCAATTTACACTCAACTTTTCCACAGAGTTGAGAATTCGGTTTTTGAAAAAATAAGATTCATATAGAGCTGCGAATGCATTACATGACCCGTCATATGACGGTCATGTGACCATCATTGACGGTCATATGACGAGACGTTTTCCACAACTGTCACAATTTCCCCACCTCTATGACAATGCTATTTTCAAAAAAAAAAAAAATCAAATTCTCAGTCCTCAAAAAAGTTGAAAGTATATTGAGAGATAATTGAAAATCAAAAATTCTTCTTTCAAATTCAAGCCGGAGAATTTTTTCAGAGTTTTCAGGAAACTGGATAGTTTTCTCCAATTTTTTATAAAAACGCAGAATTTTCGCAAATTCTTTAATAAACTGGAGAATTTTCTCGAAAAAAGGAGAATTTTGTCGAATTGTCTAGAAAACCGGAGGGTTCCCTCGAATTTATTAGAAATCGATGAATTTCATCAAATTTTCTAGATAACCGTAGAATTCTTCCGAACTTATTAGAAAATCGGCGAACTTCGTGCAATTTAGTAGAAAATCTGAGAATTACCTTGAATTTTCTTGAATTTTTTAGAAAACCGGAGAATTTCCTAGAACGTTTCCAAAAACCTAATAATTTTTTTGATTTTTTTATAAAACTGGAACACTAATTGAAATTTTTTAGAAAATTGGAGAATTTTTCCGATTTTTTTTTTGAAAATCGACGGATTTTCTCGAAAACTGTTGGATTTCAGGGTTTTCCCCGAGACCAAAATTCACTCTCCCAAGTTCTTTTATGTTAAGGAAAGGTTTATTGCTTTATGTTGCTATGGGGTCTTCCCTGAGAGTGTAAAATGGGGGAAAAGTCCTCTCGGGACTTTTAATGAGGGATTTTGCCCAAATGTGGGTTTTTCCCACAAGTACATCTGGCGACCAGGCGGGTCAAGAGGAAAGTCCAAGCGTTTGCTTCAGGGGGTGGAAATTATATTGCCCTCCTAGGTCTATATTAGCCCTGGGCCTCACTAGCAACTATCTTTTAGTCTCTCGTAGATATTCATAGTGTCAACTACCTCCTGACTGTGTAGAGTCTTAGAGATTTTTCAATTAAAGTGTTCACATAGATAAAAGGTGTTTCTTTTTTTTTTTAAACCCCATAATCCAATAAAAACCGGAGAATTTTCTGGAACGCTCTCGGAAACTTGGCTCTTGCGGAGAGTTGGACTCTGGATAATTTCTGGTTTTTGAGAGAAAATTCAAGGTTAGTTGAAAGTTGGAGTGACGAGGCGTAAAATTCATTTTATGCCAGTTGCCCTCTTTACTATCAACTTTACTATCGGGATTGAAAATTTGATTTTTGAATTTTGATTCGCAGGTATCTCTGAATGTACTTTCAACTTTTTTCAGAGTTGGATTTTTGATTCTCAATTGTCTCCCAATCTACTCTTAGTGAATTGAGAGTTAATTGAAAATTAAGAATCCAACTGTCAACTTTTTTGAAACAATGGAGAAATAATTGAGAATCAAAAATCCTATTTTCAATAGTAATACCACCAGTGCATCACACT